TTTTCTTTATCGTGCCAACGTTTCGATCTTTATTGAGATCATCTTCAGGGCCTGGGATTTACAAACATTGTTTAAACTTAACAAATACATGTAGGATGTGTTTTGTAAATCCCAGGCCCTGAAGATGATCTCAATAAAGATCGAAACGTTGGCCCGATAAAGAAAATGTTTTTTCTGAAACCTACATCACACCAGACCGCATCTCACGATTTCTGAATAATTATCGACTAACGGTCACTACTCACTACGCTAAACTTTAAATTTCAATAATAAACTCTTTATAAACTTTACAATTAATTTTTTTGTTTTAATTCTTTTTTTTAGTAACTTTAACTTTAATTAATAAATTCTTAACTTTAAATATGAATTTAAATATTAAATAATTTAAATTCTAAACTGAATAAAAATATTTTTACCTGGCAAAACAGTGGTTGTTGTCTGAGTACCTGGTCACATATGTCAGGAAGATAACGAAAAGTCGGATGAGGTGGCTACGGCCGGGACGTCACAACCTATGGACTTTGCCACAGCTATCCAACCCTCTGATCCTAAAAATGCAATAAAAATCCTTTTTACAAGAAAGTGGAGTGATATGGTCTCACATATATACACTAGGTCGAGTGATGTTGACTTACTTTGGGCTAAACCGTGCGTATATGTCCGACATGTAGACAAAGGTTGCTCAATCTTTTTTAAAAAGGATTGAACTCCACACTCACCACATCATTTATAATTTCTAAGGTTGCTCAATGTGTCCCACCTAATTAAAAGGTGCAATTCGTCGGTTCTATACAGAGAACGCGCAGGAATGCCCCTATATTATATACAGTAATAATAGTTGTGTGAAGAGAGAATGTATTTATTAGTGTGAATGTACTTATCCTTTGTTCTACAACGTACGGGTCAAGATGACCCAAAAAATTTCAAAAACGCGCGTCAGAGGGTAGTGATCGGAAGAAGTTGATGCTTTGAGTAGCTTTCCTTCTTGTCTTCCTCTAGACGTGGACACCACTGGAACCCTTTTTACAGGTAAGTGATCTAGTAATATTGGAATAAAGTAAGAAAAATCATGGTATGGGTCAATATGACCCCACGTTGTACGACATGTTCTTTCAGTTTTAGTTCAAATTTAACTTCTTTTCTATAAATTTAATTAGTTTTCTCGATGCTTTTCTTTGTAATCTTTCTGGATTGTTTCAGCCATGGCAAATAGTTCACATTTTGTAACTGACGAAGAAATTCGTCGTGAAATAGGAAGATCAGTGATAATGAAAACGAGGAATACTTTTCTGAAGATTTAACTTACAGTGAAGATGAAATGATTTTTTGCCAAACGACAATGATATAACCTGACGCCTTTGACGTTCTTCCTGAAGACGAAGCTCTCTCAGAGGACCACTTTATCCCAGAAAATTTTTCAAATTAGTTTCCGAAGATAGAGAACAAAGCAGAAACTTTGTGTTGGGCAAAGATGGCGAAACTATCTGGTCTGATGCCGATCTTTTACCGTCCAGAAACGTCAGATTAGCTTCAAAGAATATGATTACCCATTTGCCTGGTGCCAAAGGATATGCTCGGAACCTCGTATATAAGGAACCACTGTATTCCTTATTCATCAACCAATCCATGATTGATGTCATTGTAAAATATACCAATGAAGAGATTGATAAATAAAAACTCAATACAGTCCTGACCAGCGCTATACTGGACCCACAGATGGTCTTTAAGTGAAAGCTTTGCTGGGCTTTTATTTTTCAGCGGCGTTATGATGGATTTGAACCTGAACGTCTCAAAAATATTTTGTCTCAAAAATTTAGACCATCGATTTTTCGAACAGTGATGTCAAAAATCAGATTTGTCTTCCTTCTTTGCTTTCCGTTTTTCGGAGTATGTATGTCATTTTTGTTCCTTGTGGCACTGTGTTCCATTTTTGTAAAGTTACCTTTTTCGTTTTAATTTTATAAGAATTTAATGTGCACTTTACGAATAAGTAATAAAATTATATAATAATAAAATAAATTATAAAATAAATAATAAAATTCGAAGTTAATAATTTTTACAAAGAAAGATTTCTGAAAATCTTCAAGTTTTTCCTTGTTAGATTGTACTTTATTGTGATTACAATATATTTTAAACCATTTATTTTGAAAACAATGTGGTTTTGTATCCTACAAGGTTAATAAAAGTAAGAACTTTTAAAATAAAGTTCTTAATATTTCCCAAAAATGTTGAAAAATATGTCTCATTGCACTTAAAAACAGAGTTGGGTCAAAATGACCCTACAAGTATACTTCAAGCTCTCCGTGGCCATTTCATTTGTCGTCGAGAATCCAACCGGATTACACGATATTTGAAAAATGGCAAAAAGGAGGGAAAACTCATAAGGTGGGGTTGAGATGGGGAGTTGATGTCCGAGTGGATCGAGGTCACGATAGCTCAAGTGGTGAGGAGCGGCGTATCAAGCCGAAGATCGTGGGTTCGAATCCCACTCGTGCCATTGACTTTTTTATCTCAACTAAAAACCTTAATTAATTATAATTTATAATGATTCAAATATGTTATTTATCACATAATTAACGTATATCACATAATGTTTATAAATTATGTCCGTAATTATTAATGTCGACTACATTGTGGTGAAAATTATACTTCAAACATTACTACCAGCAAATTTAAAATTTTTTCCCTTTGTGAACAAATTGTAAAGATACAAACTAGTTATTTACGCAACATTTAACATAAATATCATAACGTAAAAAAATCATAATTGTGAATTGTAGGTTCAGGAGGGACCACATCCCTCCGCATTACTGCAATAGGTATGTGCAGATGGCGAGGTTTCTTGGCATCACATTTGATCAAAAATTAAGATGACAGCCACACAATGACATTGTCGAGGAGTTGTAGGAAAGCGGTAACATTAGACTTCAATGGTTCAATTCACCAAATCACTTGGTCATTTCAAGTGGGGAACTACAGGGAGACCCTCCTAAGAATATTTGGACTTGCTGCTGTGCTAGACTTTGTTTATGGTTGTATAACTTATTCCTCAGCCTGCAAAATGCAGCCGCAGAAACACAATAGGTTCACATGCAGTCTCTAGCGCATTTAGAGCAAGCCGTTTGACCACCCTGTGAGTGAGCTGGGTATACTGCGGCCCGAACTTTGGAGGGAGGACAAAAAATCTTTCGACGAAATTTGACAAAAAAAAAAGAAAGTCAATCAAATTATAAAGAATCATATTGGTGAAACCACGCACAATGACCAAGATAGGCAAAGGCAGTCAACAAAGTCTAGCCTAAACTCACTTGAGATTTGTGTGGTGATTAGTGACCGTTAGTCGATATTTATTTAGAAATCGTGAGATGCGGTCTGGTGTGATGTAGGTTTCAGAAAAACATTTTCTTTATCGTGCCAACGTTTCGATCTTTATTGAGATCATCTTCAGGACCTGGGATTTACAAACATTTTTACATATAACAATTACATTTTGGATATGGAAAAGTGAATTTATACAATGCAAAAATATTTTTTATATATTCAATCAAAGTATTTCTACTCACTCAAAGTATTTGTCTTCTGTGTAATTGTGCCATTCTTGCGTGTCGTATCGAGAGTGCCAGTGTAGTAACTTCAAAATAGCTTTCAAAAATTATAAAACAATTCAAACACTTTTTTCCAAAATTAAAGATCCCTCACCAATAACAAATAAATCTGACGTAATCTACAGGATCAACTGTTTAACTGTCCGGCAACTTACATCGGTCTTACATCCCAATATCTGGACAAGAGAGTAAAGAAACATATCTATGATTGCAAAAAACCTAAGCAAAATCCTACAGCACTCGCTACCCATCATTTTTAACACCAACACAATTTCGACTTCAAAAATCCAAAAATATTACACACAGAACAAAACAAACATAAACGTAATTTCTTAGAAATGGTTTATATCAACAGAGATAAACACAGCATCAATTACAGAAGAAATACATGTAAACTCAGTCGCAGCTACGCCAATATCATTAATCAAATTCAATATATATAACATATTATTCCACACATCATATATTTTTCACATAGTCTAATGGTCCAACAATTTAGCTTTCCTTTTCCTATTTATCCCTTTCTATATAATCCTGAAAGGATAATCTGGCCGAACCATTACCAACACATTTCACCTCAAAGAAGCCGACACCTTATACAAAAATGTCTTTTCTATACCGACATCCTTCCCCACCCCTTCAAAATCGTATATGAACACAAAATAGCAAAATCTCACTGGCCCTCTCAACACGACACGCAAGAATGGCACAATTACACAGAAGACAAACACTTGAGTGAGTAGAAATACTTTGATTGAATATATAAAAAATATATTTTGCATTGTATAAATTCACTGTTCCACATCCAAAATGTAATTGTTAGATGTAAACAATGTTTGTAAATCCCAGGCCCTGAAGATGATCTCAATAAAGATCGAAATATTGGCAGGATAAAGAAAACGTTTTTCTGAAACGTACATCACACCAGACCGCATCTCACGATTTCTAAATAAATTACATGAGATTATTGGTCACAATTAGTAAATTCATGGTACAAAAATGTATATATAAGATAGTAATTTTAATTACTACTTTGTAGTAATCGCTTCATAATCTAGGTGTAGAAAGAATTTGAAAACTGGATCTGGTCACAAACATTAATAATTATTGTTTCAACGTCCCAAGGTTGTCCAGATTGTATGAAACGTGAAATGATTTGCGATTCAGCAAAATAAACTAATAGTGCCACATGTCATATAAACAGGTCGTGCACAGAGCCATGTAAAGTCAATGACAGCTTTCTTTACGATTTCAGCATCTACTCGCATCTTGGTGGTCCCATAAGTAATAAAATTCCATCCTTACCATATTTCCATACCGAGTGGATAGGTCCTCCCTTCCTTCACATCCAATTGCTTTTCAGCAACAATCATAGGAAATGGGTAAACAAACACATCGGAAATAGTTTTTTTTTTTTTAAATCAAGCTTTGTACATAAAAGTCATAAATACAAATAACAGATAAAATCCGACTCCAATGTGGAGTAATTTATTCACACAACCCTAATTTTCTGTTTTGTTTCAAGAGCTATGTCTAAAATTGAACAATCCTTTTTTCAACAAAAATAATAAAAAACGCAAAGAAAATATGATTTAAAACACTCGTAAGTTTAAAGTAGTGATAAAGTTACACTTAATCCTGTAAAAATGCAAAACACTTACATCTAATTTGATAAATTTCTTTTTTCTAAGATATAACATTATAAAATCTATTTGAAAATGTCTCCTTCAAAAATTAATAAATACAATGTTAAAAAAAAAAAAAAAAAAAAAAATGAAAAACATTAATACAAATGGTAAATGTTCCATTTCTTCACATTATTGAATGACATATGATAAACATGATCAAGAATTTAATTTATATTATGATTCTTAGCATGATATAATGCTTATGACATGCCATTCAATTATGTTACGAAATATTATCTCTCGTAAACCATAAAAATTTCATACAACCTATATGCTGAATGAAATTAAATGAAAATATTAATAAAACTATCCATTATTCCTTGTATAAAACGAAACAAAACATTATTGTCAAATTACCAAATTTTTGTTAACTTTCAATCACCAATGGTACAACAATAAAAGAACGGATACAAGGAATAGCACCTATAACTTTTTTTTGGACGAATCGAAAAGCTAAGGGTCTAAAGTGACTGGATGATGACTTAGATGTGATTACGAATGGGTGAAGTACGACTGGTAGAGGAGGCCGAGGGACGATGAGGCGAACCAGGCGAAACACAACCACCAAGTGGCAAAGCCAAACACACCACGTGCGACATCGCGCGTCAAGACCTGTTTGAGTGAGTCGATCGCAAGAGTGATTTCCTGGGCTGAGCGCAGAACTGAGTCCTCTTCGGCGAGGGGCATGCCGACACGTGGTGCGCCGTCCACTGGGCACTCCTGATCGGAAGTGTTTGTCTGGTCAAAAATACTCGACCACTGATATTCACCTAGATATGAAAAAAATTAGTTTAAAAAAGTAAAAAATAAAAAAGTCAACTCACCTAAAGTTTTGAACATCAATGTGAAAAATAGACATAAAAGGAGAGGTGCTAGGTATTGTAAAGCGACAACACACATGTAATAAAACACTGCAGCTATCTATAACAAAAAATTAAATTATATACATATTACATAAAATCAGAATAAAAAGGATGTTTTTACAATTAGAATGTAACACTAATTTTTACTTAATTTGGTCTTTAGTAAAAAACTAGGCATGAAAACCCATTTATACATGGGTTTTCTCTGCTTCATGTAAAAACATCATTGATATATACGTATAACATAACCTAACCTTAACCCTAACCCAACCAACCCAAAACCATATCCTTGTTTATTAACTTTCTTGAAAGTTTACATGTCAATTTTGTTAAAAGAGAACAACAAAGGCAAAAAAAGATTTTCTGGTACTGCCAAAAAAGTTATAAAAATTTAATTGTTTTTTAATTACTTAACGTAACCAAACTCATCCCTAATTCATCCTAACCTAAACAAACCCATATGTAACCCTAACCTAACTTAATCCATCCCCAATCCTACCAAATCTAATGTAACCAAATCCAACCATGGCACTCCCTGCGTAAGTCGATGACACAAAAATGGTCATGGAAAAAAGTGTATCCTGCCCAAAACCATATCCAAGGTCATTCACTTTTTATGAAAGTTTTATGTAAATTTTATTAAAAGAGAACAACGAGGGGAAAAAAAGTTTTTCTGGTACTGCCAAAAAAAAGTTTTAAAAAATTCTGTTTTAATTACTTAACCTAACCAAATCCATCCTAACCTAAACAAGCCCACCTGTAACTCTAACCTAACTTAATCCATTCTCAATTCTTCCCAATGAAACAAATATGGTCATGGAAAAAAAAAGTGTATCCAGCCTAAAAACATATCCATGTTCATTCACTTTTTATGAAAGTTTATATTTAAATTTTGCTAAAAGAGAAAGAGGAAAAAAAAGAAAAAAATCAATTCCAGTTAGTCATTTTCTGCTGAGTGGAATTTTGAAAATTGCAACAATCCAGTTAAAATTGAATTTTGTAATATTCATAATGATGTTGGAAAGACAATCCAGAAAATTTTTATATGGTCAATAATTGAATAGTTGTTTCTGATGAACCAGTAGAACATTGGTCGGGTGCTGGTGTCTCACCCTGCTTATAACCCTGTCAATTACTGAAGATGGTAAAATGCCATGATGATCAGAATTCACCAAACTATTCTACATATTACAAATCAGTAGCTGTAAGCATAAGGCTTTTTTATTTAAAATGTATAAGATGTTTATTTGATCATTTTAAAATTAAAGATTTTTCTGAACCTGCCAAATAAGATTTAAAAATGTAATTGTTTTTGTAATTGCTTAATCTAATCGAACGATCCCTAATTTGATCTGAACTAACCAAACACCAAACCTGTTTGTAACTAACCTAACCTAATCTATCTCCAACCCTACCTAACCTATCCAAATCTAACCTATGAACTCTGGTAATTGAAAACTGATGATGTAAAAATTGGCATGCAAAAATAATTTGTGTATCCAGCCAAAACCATATCCATGTTTAAAAAAAATTGGAACATGCAAATTTCCATAAAGTGATGCTAGAGAATGGTAGTCATATATTAAATAATGCTGAAGACAATTGCTTTAAAGATCATAATTTGATTTGTGCACAATTCAATTTGTTTGTATAATTGTGCACATTTAAGCAATTTGTTATTCCAACTGACCTTTTTCTGCAAATCTTTGTTTGTAATTCTCCCAGCTTCTTTCCTCTGCTCTTGAACACGCATGTCAGCTATGTTCAAGTACGCTTGCAAATATAACGGCATTAAGCCCAGCCTTATTATAACAGCGACAATTATTAACACTAAGCGCAAACTGTCGAAGGCACGTTCAGTAAGTCTGAAAAGGATATTTTTTAAAAAATATTTGTAAATTTTTTTGTGAAGGTATGATATTTTACATTGGTGTCTCCATCCCTTGGAAGATTCTTACAGTCAAATAATGCTTGGTTACAGATCGCAACCACAGCAGGACTAGAAGGAAAGGTGTTGCAAAATTTATGTGCAGGAAAAAACTTACTACATGTCTTTCTTTACAGTACCTGAAATTTAATTTTTTTTAGTTATCAAACAGTATTAATTTTTTTTTACAACATACTTTAAAGCATCCCAGTGCATTTTGGCCATACGGAGCCCTGGAAAGGTAAAAAGGGCTCCGATAAGAGCACACCACAATGCTATACAGAATTTCAGTATGAACTTGGAAGCTGGCCCTCTGAAAAATGTTCTGTTATAGTTACAAGAACTTGTTTTTTAGAAGTATTGCCACACTTACTCGGAGTTTAAACCGTGCCTTTCTAAAAAGGCGTGTGCGCTTGAATTGAAACTCGCGTACGCCTGCTCGAGACCAGTCTCGAGATTTTTCTCATCGATTAGCAAAATGGCCATTGCGAGAACGAGATAGGCAAAGAACGTAACTATCACAGTAGATCTTTCACCTATCGATTGTTCTCCAGTAAAATACTGGAAAGTGAGCGTTAACAATATCTTCCTGAAAAAATGCTAAGGAAATTCAATATATTTTTAAATTTTTATTTTATTATAGGCTATTCTAAAAGTTTTTGTTGTTTATTTGAACTCGATCTGTCATTACAAAGGATACATGGAAAATAAAATCACTAGAAAACACCAGACCATGCTTAAATTTATCTCATCTTTCAGCGGCATGAAATATGAATAGATCTGAAACAATAACTAGTCCGTTGTTTAAAAAAAATAAAAAAAAGAGAAAAGAAAAGGAAAGAAAACAGAAAAAAATAAAATATTACACATCAGAGTTTAAGTGACATTATAGAAAATTAATAATTTTACCTCAGTAAGTGTGTAAACAATGAGGGAATAGAGTGAAAAATCCAAGAGCATCTGATAATCAGAATAGTACCGCAGATGAATCACATCTAAGAAAGAAACTTGAGTAGTTTCCATCTACAAAACAGAACAACGAAAAATCAAACAATTTTTTAAAAAATTTATTTAATGGCTTAAATACTTGAAACTCCAGATTTCTTGGGACGTGGAAGACAGACGAGGACAGACCGTTCTCGTGGTACCTCCGGTCTTTTTTCCCTTTGGTTTTCTCTTTTGGTATACCCGCGAGTGTCCTCAGCTCGTCATCAGTCGGGTATAAAAATCTCGTCAACCTGAAAATTATAACAAATTAAATTTCACTTGTTAATGCATATGAGACCGGCCGGACGAACCCAGTAGAACAAATAAGCCATTTCGCAAAGGAAAAATGCCGCCCTAATTTTTGAATAACGCTCACCATCACCAGCGTTATCACAAGCTGGTATCCTAAGAGAGCCTGAAACATAAAAAAATAATTTAAAGCTTCATGAGTATAAAATACACTGAGAGGCAAAAGTGGACACCCTTAATATTTTTAATTATCTTTTAGACAATCCTTCATCTTATTAATTATCTTACAACAATATTTGGTTCGTTTTAAAGAATTAGAGGTAAATAAAACAAAGATAAAATCTCCCACTTCTTTTTACAAAGGGATTTTGTATATAAATCTTTGAACAGTCAAGCTTTTCATTGTTAGTTTTTCTGTAAAGAATCTTTCTAAAGTTTCGGCGGTTTGATTTTTTTAAGTTGTACCATTTTTAAGATTCAAATAGGCTTGAGGTACAGATTCGGCTAGAATCATAGCATGATTGGAAGATGGAAGAAGTCCAGCGTATGTGGCCAGGAGCTTAACATTCCCAAAACAACTGTCCGAAGGGTCTTCCGTCACTACCAAGATACTGGAGGTTATTCAAGAAGGCATGGATAAGTCGTCATTGTGTCACATCTCCGAGAGATGATCGTTGTTTTGTTTCAAATGTCCTCCGTAATCAACATTATAACGCTGTTGAGATTAAACAATGACTTCAACTAGTTAAAAATGTCAGTTTATGCATTGTCAAAGACTTTCAGAAGCTGGATTAAGTCAATCACATGGATAGAAGAGTAGCTCATGGCAACATCTGTACATCTATGTTTAATTTGTATTTTTTTTTATTTTTTTATTTATTAGGGCTGGCATGTTACTTGGTTACCAGCCCTCAATTCTTTTCCTGCCTTTCTAGTTTTACTCCTTCTAATTTCTTTTCCTGTTTTTCCAGCCAAGTTGTAATGTTATATGATATAACATTAATCAATTCTCTCTCTCTCTCTCTCTCTCTTTTTTTTTTAAACATCTTATTGCTAGCTTCTCTGTACCTTCCACAGAAATGAGAGAAAACATCACCCTCAGAATACTCAATTTCATCAGGGTAACTTGTGTATAAGCCACTCCATTTACGATAATAAATTACCTGCTCACAACACCATTCTCACTACCCAGAGAATTTGATAGTCCTCAGGTTAATTGAGGGATGCACCTCACATTCACGCTAATAAATTACATTCACACAAAAGACTTCATTCACACTACCTCAGAGCACTTGAAATTTCATGAAGAAATTGGGGATAAGCCTTCCATTCTCGCTAATAAATTACATTCACACACAAGACTTCATTCACACTACCTCAGAGCAATTGAAATTTCATGAAGAAATTGGGGATAAGCACTTCCATTCTCGCTAATAAATTACATTCACATGTTCATTCACTCTGGCTCAGATACTTGACATCCCTTAGAATTGGGGATAATCCTAACAATTCACGCAAGGTACAAAGATCTATATAGAATTCAAAACATTTGTGGTCTTGAGATATTAGATCAAAAATCTGTGCCTTGTGTGTACTTCAAGGCTATGCACAGGACATTCAGGATGATTCAGGTGCATGTGCTTTCTTAAATGGCAGTGCCCTGTCAGGAGACTAGAATCCTGGTACGGTTGCGGTTGCCTTCCAGTAATTCTTTTGTAAGTTTTGCGGAAGGTCCTTTTATGAATCTCTTGACGTTCCTCATATCTGTGGTATTGTTCCACCAGGTTTTGAACTCATTAAGGATCCATTTCAAGATGTATTCTCTTTTGTGGTAGGCTGATAAACCACAGTAAGGTTCAGGACCCAGAGATTTCATGTTGGCCACCTCTGTGCACCCATGCCAGGGTCAGGTCATTAATGTCACTGACTTCCGTCAGGGCCTCCATGCAGTTCCAGTACAATTTGCCTTCGCCTCGCATGACCCTAAGTACTGCTTAGAGAACTAGACTAATCTCACAAATCCTTCTGATGACTGTTTTAGAGCATTTCATTATAAACCGTTTGTTGTTGTCTACTTATCAAAGAAGGTTCATTTAGCAATAGGAACAATAAAACAATCGTCTCTAACCATCGTGTATCGCTGTTTACACTACCTTTTCTTCAATCGACACTTCCGGTAGCCCTAAACAGCTGATAGAGAGTGGCACATCTAGGACTTGTTCTATATAACATCTATCGTTGGTCAAAGCGAAGGAACAAATTGAATAGATTTTCTTTATTTTTAATTTAAGAGTGTAATAGGATTGGCAACACTCTACAGAGGTAAACAAGTTATTAATAGGTGTAAGTTTTACCTATCAATCTTTTACCTAGTATTACGGAAAGTAAACAAATGAATACAAGTGTCCAATTTTTCTCTTTCAGTGTAAATTAAAAGATTAAAAAATCATAAATGAATCATTAAACAATAAAGACGGATACTTGCAAAAAATCATGTATATGTGCACATGGCATGGCTGATAGTTTGGCCAACTTGGACTGGAAGAGCGTTTGTTCACAAACATGTTAACATTGAAACATGTTAGATTACATGGTCAGCAAGTAAACAAACGCAGCTTTAAACGATATAAAAGTAAGACAAAATACACAATTTAATATAGTAAATATTTATTTTTTCTGGACCAATTTTTTTAAGGGTTTTAACTAGAAAATTGAGGTCGGCCAAATTTAGGATCCAGGGTTCTTCGTATGTAAAACGATTTTTTTTCTACGATTCAAAAGCACTTTTACAGGGTTTTTTTCTGCGTCGTACTTACCATTTTTCTTCACGGTTCGGGGGTAGTTCGTAGGGTGCGGGTTGGCCAAAAAAATACCCTACTTTTTCTTTCTAATCCGGCGAGCATGCATTTCAGCCCAAAATAAACTCTCACGCACGAAACGCCTGGATACTGGCAAGTGTAGGTTACAAACGGCCAGGTTGCCTGACAGTGATAAGGGCACCGCCAGATATTTTACGTGCCTTGTATGACGTCATGGAAGTACAACACTTGACTATGACAGTAACAACTTCAAAATACTAGTTCATTCGTTTGTTTCTTATTTCATTATCATTTTTTTATTCTTTCATGAACAATCTTTATTGCAATATTTTTTATATTAGTACATGTTTTTAGAAGGTACGTTTAAATAATAATTCCAATTTTATGAACTAATAAGATAGTAGATTATTTTTTAATTCATTTATCTACATGTATATGTATTATAAAATCACAGATTTGTTTTGGAAAACCCACCACTTTGACCTTACAAAAAACTACAATCTTTCTGGGCATTTTAACACCAGAAGCACATAATTCAGTGTAATAACATTAAAATCTTAGAATAGGTCGAAGCTGGGCAGTAACAACTAAATTTGCTTTTATGAGTATGATCAGGAGTATTCGTGCATAATTCTGACAGCCAGAAGTATTTTATTTTTAAACCATTTTGGAATGGAGCTATTGTGCCAAGAACCTCCAGGGTTACTATTGTAAGTAGTGGATCATAAGAAGCTACTCCTGTATATTATTGTAACAGTAAACTCAAAAAATTTAAAACCACGATCAAAACACAGTAAACAAAGAGTTGACCACCATAAGCAACTAGTAAACACTATAGAAGTGAAAAAGACGTTTATAAATTTTCACAAACCGTTGGAGAGAGAAAATCGATCATTTCCAAAAATAACTTTTTAAGAACAAAGGGGATTATATCTCGAAAAATATTATAGTTCTTTTGAACACATAGTCAAACATAATAGCGTATATAGGAGAGAACACTAAGCGGGCTTTTTTTAATGCTTCACACTTCTACATATACACATACTTCTATATACGAAATATTTTATAGGTAAAGAGAAAAAATTCCAATAATTAAAAAACGTATTTTTCCCCTCTTGTTCCATTCTGTTGTCCTATGTGACATACATGTACTTATTAAATGTGTTTTTATTATTATTCTTTATTAAAGTTATAATATATATAGATATTAAAAATTGTGGCGAAGTATTTTTGTTATTAGGTAGGTTTTATGTTATTTAACATGTGTAAATGTTATTAAATGTTGACTACGTACCTACTTTAAAGAAAAGGAAATATTTCACGGACAGATTGGCGTTGGTATAAACGCTTTATTTGTTCTTCTGACACAACACTAATTCACGAGAATCTATTATGACAATGTTTAGAAAACAGTATAAAACGAGAATAAAGTGGTAAATAAAAAAAATTAAAATTAACGTTTCAGTTGCATTTGCCTTAACTTTGTCATGTGAAAATAATTGGCATTATAGAGAAAGCTATCCATTAGTTGGTAAAAACGCATTTCTCATTTTTTATATTTGTGCCAAGACAAACAAATTGGTCAAAATAGGAGAAAATACAGGTACTTCTACCTAAAAACCAAATTTTCATCAAACAAACGCACAATTCCCAACATTGACAACCAATCCGGAAGAGACAAACATATTCAAATGCTTCAAGGGAAAAAAAAGAAAGCACTTTTAAGTATTGAGTAAAAATATGGTGAATTTGCACCTTTAAGCATTGACAGTCGATTTTGCAGGGGCAAGAAATTTATCTGTATTCTTTTGGCAAGGGATACCAAATATTTTTGTTTTGAGCTAATGTATGCTGCATTTTTAACTTAACCATTGATGTTTGATTTAGGAGTGACAATAAACTTGCTATGGATTAATGATATATCTTATCCATATTCTTTTGAAAATGTTTGACATGTTATATACATGTAAGCGTGTCTCTTCTGTTCTGGCCCAACCCTGAATTCGGAGAACCGAAAACAAGGTCCCAGAGGTTTTTTATGATCGGACCTGACTACAATAATTTAATTTATTGATCAGGCACCTTTTTTTAATATGTTCCATTCAAATATTCAATTCAAACCAAAATAAATACAAGANTATATATAAAAACTGAGGTATCATCATATGTCAATAATAGTTTTCTGGATGTATAGGGAAAATCAGCATTGTAAATGATATACAGGATGGGACCAAAAATGTTCCCTTGTCGTACGCCGGCTTGTATTGGTCTGATATTTACGGTCAGTTAAACAGATTCCAGGATAAAATTATTCTGAGCTTATTCGGGCTCCCTCGAAGGAAAAAACCCGAAAGCACAAATTTCTTCGGCATAAAGCACACCGCATGACGGCCGGTCGTGCAGGTCTAACATTGAGACGCGTCGTGCCTCTTCTTCTCTCTCACTCTCTCTCACTCTCTTTTTCTCTCGCTCAATATTTTTCGTTATATTTTGAAATTCTACAAAAATATTTAATGATTTTTTTGGGTTGGTTTAATGCCAACTGAATTTTTACCATAAGATATATTTTTGTATAAAAATCCCATCAGGTTTAAGGCCAATTGAAATGAAAACATTCAATCCCTTCGTCATGCTTTCATTACATTTCTTTCATCAGGTTATTGAAATCCCAATCAATGATTTGAAAGGTATAAAAATAAATATAAACATTTATTCACAAATTTTTAAGATTTTAGCTAATGAAATTACGAACGAATTTACAGAGTATAAAATTAAACTTAACCGGACATTGCATAATACTGCTAAATATTTACGTTTTTTTGACAGGTCTTGGTCATTTCAACCCCGAAGCAATAAAAAAATACCGCACACAACTGAGAGGCGATGGAGAAACTACTTCGCCATCAGCCCATCCCCGTTCACGCCAATCTTACAAGACACAGAAACACTAAACACACAACTTTACTTCTATATACAATAAAAAATTCCCAAGTCCCTTAAAAAGCGGGGACCCTGAAACTCGTTGCTGTGTCCGAGAACCCTCATTAAATCTGGCGGCATGCCTACTCGCGCCCGGTAGAAAACCAAGGTACGCGTCAACTATGTGGGACACGTCGAGCAAACTTTCTCTGGATAACGTTTGTTATTAAAGGGAATAGAATATTAGAAACTAACGCCGCTACTCTACTCTCATTTTTGGCCTAGCAAAATGCCAAAAAGGAGGGAAAATTCAAAAGGTGTGGTTGAGATGGGAAGTTAATGTCCGAGTGGATCGAGGTCACGTTAGCTCAAGTGGTAGAGCAGCGGCGTATCTAGCCGAAGGTCGTAAGTTCGAATCCCGCTCGTGACACTGACTTTTCTATCTCAACAAAAATCTTAATTAATTGAATTATTTATTAATATTTATTAAAAGCGCTCTCTTTTCTTGGATATCGATTGAAACTGTAGTGCAACATTGGAATGTTTTGTTTTTTCGGTATTTAATTACTCTTTTGTTTTAATGATAAACGAGCTTTTGTAATATTTGATCATTACATTAAGCGTAGATATTTATTAAAATATTTCTTTTCTCCCGGTTACTGATTGGATCTATAGTCATGTATAAAAAGAGTTTACCGGAGATGTGGGACGTCGGATTCCTGTCAACCACCGCTCCTGCCATCCCTAACTCAATCAGATCGAATATTTCCAGCTCCTTTTATCCTCCCTTCGGATATATTATTTCCACTCGTTTCATTATTCCGATACGCATTGAAATTTCATACGCAGACTGGCATGGAAGGTAGACGTCCTGGATTCTCATGGAAAGGTAATTATTATTTTTTTTATCGCGACGAGTTCTTTATCGACAAGGGCAACTTACTAATGAATTTATAGAAAAAATTATAAATACTGATTTTGACAATTTCCCTGACAGCCTAGCGATTAGAAAGGCTTTTTCTTTGCAGGTTGTTTATAACGATTTAAAAAAAAATATATTTCTCACTACTCAGGGAGTTTTGACAAGGGGTTGTTAAAAATATACGGTGAGTTTTTATAAAAGACTATTTATTTTTATTAGTTATTTAGAAATCGTGAGATGCGGTCTGGTGTGATGTAGTTTTCAGAAAAACATTTTCTTTATCGTGCCAACGTTTCGATCTTTATTGAGATCATCTTCAGGGCTCAAAGTGTTTGTATTCTGTGTAATTGTGCCATTCTTGCGTGTCGTGTCGAGAGTGGCACTCTTCACACCAGACCGCATCTCACGATTTCTAAATAAATATCGATAACGGTCACTAATCATCACACATATTTTTATTAGTTTACTTAGTTTTATTTTTACGTTGCCTATTTTTATTTATTTAATTTTTTTTTATATTATTTTTTAAAACTACATATGGTTCCAAAGATAATTTTACACGTAGAATCTGTTAGTACTATTAGAATTTTAGTATGACTGCCTTTTTTTTTTTAAATGTCATGTTCTATTTTTTCGCATATTTCGAAAACCGTTTCCATTCTGAAAAAACTGATCCCAGAAGGTCAACTATTCGTCTGGAGATTTTGAATTTTCCCCAGAGGTCGATATTTCGAATTATCGTACATTTAGTGTTTGTTGTTTAGAGTAAGGTTTAACACACAAATTAAATTTTCATATTTTATTCATTCAAATTTTCTATTTTCTTCTTTTTTAAACACATGATAAATTTAAATTATCCAGTCTTTACAGAAAACTTCAATATCTTTAGAACGAACCGCATAATTTTTGAGAATGAATTTTTTTCTACAGATTTTGAAAGTAGGTTTTGTTCTAAACCAATGATACCAGAACCTTAAAAATTTATCGATTTGTTCTGGATAAATTTCCTTAAGAACTCGATAATTTGAATTTATCTTGTTACTGATTTTTGTTGTTTAAATTTATGCTTATAAAACTAACACAAATTAAATTTTATATTTTATTCTCAAAAATTTTCAATCTTCTACTTTTGTTAAGTAGTTACACTACAAATTGAAATTATCGAGTTCTGAATTGAAAGTTCAATATCACCAGGAAAAATGCGATGAATTTTTGGAGATAATTTTATTTTTTACACATTTTGAAATTTTTAAAGTCCGTTCCATAAAAAAGATATTCAGAACAGAATAGTAACTCAAACATTCAAAGACTCTTTCTG